TGATTATAACTTAATTGATTTAATATAGATATATGTATATCTTTCAAAAAAATTAATCAATTTTTATCATTTTGTAATTTTATACACGCGTTTTGTGTAATGCTTCATAAAGTTGAAAAATACTTTTAATAATAATAAAAAATTGAGAAAAGTAGCAATATATGTCAATAAAATTATCAAAATAATTAGAACACACTAAAATGTTCAATTATAAATCATATTGTAATTTTTTCATTTCATAAATATCTATTGTACTTGTTGTATTACGTTGACTTTCTGGAGAAATATACATATAAAGAGGAATAGCATGTTATATTGTGACAAACATTTTTGAACTATTAAAACATGTAATATTAAAAACTTTGTTATTAGATATTTTTTTAGTATATAATATGTACATACTGATAAATTATCCGAGCACTATCAAAAATTTAATGATCATGTTATCCTTGATTGTTATGCTTGATTCTGTTAGATATTATGGTAGCAACTTGTCTGTGATAATATACTGATACTTAGATTCGTTTCGATTTGTTACAAAGGTGATTGAAGGTGGTTAAATTTCTCGAAACAATGTACGTATCTGATATGATCATTAAATTTTATCATTAAATTTAACCTATCATTAATATCTTCTAGTTGATTGTATGAGAATTAAATCGTTACCTGTTTTACAGAAAAAAAAAAATGAATCGTAAGCACTTCCTTTACACAGACGAAAATTCGTCGTGACATTGTGTATTATTATTTGTCATATCATATATGCTACCACTATTTACATACATGTCAAAAGTTTAGATTGTTTTAGAATTATTTATTAAGTGTGAGAGAGATCTTTCTTTAGAAAAGGCAGATAAACATCGGGTAAACCTTCCGTGTCACTTTGTTTATTGGTACTACTTATTTGGCTTTTTATGTATATCATTTCAGAAATTCTTCTTTTCAATAATAATTGTTCTGTATCTAAAATTCTAATATTATCCCAATCCAATTCGTGCATCTCATTCAATTGGTGGTGTGAAACCACTGACATCTCAGAGATGGATCTTCTTATGTCAGCCTTATGTTCTTTGATTCGAGTTTTTAATTTTCTTTTGTTTGGCTAACATAAGAGGATTCATAATTTAAACAATTTATTTTATAAACCACTTCACAATGGTTATCTTTACACAAACGATCTTTTCCAGTTTTAATAAATCTATTCAATTTATATTTGTAAGCAATATTAAAGCCCTGACCATGCGATAATTTTTAAAAAATTTTTCCGATACTTAAATATGATATTATAAAAAACTTTTTCTTTAAATTAGAATTAAAATCGCTTTCATTATTATTACACTCACTATTTTTATCTAAATTCGTTCTATTTTCTAAAGTTTTAATTCTGTTTTTTTATTGTTGAAAAAATTAATTCAAGAGGATAACTATTCATTAACAGAGTGTGAACTAAGTCAGAAATATTTTTTTCTTGAAATTTTGAATGGGATAAAAACAATGTTCTATCTAATTGCCCGATGATTACACCCCTTTTATGTACTAACGGATGATTCGAATAATAATTCAAATATCTCCCTGAATTAATAGGTTTTTTATAAATGTCGAAGATGATTCTTCCTTCTTGTCTCATTAGTTTAACATCTAAAAAATTAATGCCGTTTTCGTCGCCAAAGTCAACTGTAAACCTTAGCCTTTATATGATATGAATTAAACAATTCCAGAACATTCTCTACTTTGTTTTTATGCACGGACAATACAATATCAATATAACGGAAATAAAAAGACGAAATAATATTATTGGTCGTAATAATTTCTTGTTCTTGTAGAACAATATTCGCTAATATAGGGAACAATGGAGAATCCATTGGCATGCCAAAAATCTGTTTAAATATTTTTTTGTCAAATTTAAAAAATGTAGAGTTAATTATAATCATAATTGCTTTTTACAAACTCATGGAAAGGAATCGAAGTCTTGTTTTCAATCAAGTTCCATCTACGTTCAATACTCTTTAATACTAAATCGATCGGAATGTTCGTATACATCGAAACCACGTCGAATGATATAATATTGAAATTCTTATCGATTACCCTTCCATTGTATTTATTCACAATATCAAAACTGTTTACATAACTGAAATTCTTTTTATTATTATTATCTATAATATCTTTTAAGAAGGTCGCCAATGGATAAAAAGCACTGTTTATGCAACTAACTTAATATCAGCAGATGACCTTCCTTATGAATTTTAGGCAATCCATAAGAATTTTTTTCTATAAAACAGGTAATGATTCAATTCTCATAGAATTGACTAGAAGATATTAATGATAGGTTAATTTTTTAAATTAGAATCTGGAAATTCTTGTTCTACATAATTTGCAATATGACAATTGGCGCTGCAACATTGTTGTACGATGCCCCTTCACAAGATGAAAGAACACGTTTATATATAGTTATATTACACGACGGCTGAATTTAATGTCAGATATATGTAATTCTGCGTTTTAAAAATATTTGTGAATTTACTGAAGATGGTCAGATTGTGGCCGAAACATCTGAAAAAAATGTTTTATTAATGTAATGTATATTAAATATCACAAATAATATCTTGTGCTGTGGTTTTATGTTCTTCTTTTTGTAAGTTTTGATTTATAAATCACATTCGTTTTAATTATATATTTTCTGTTAACTCATCAAAATTACTCCGCTTTACCCTGCATAAATATTATATATACATCTAATTATATAGAAAAAGTAACAAATATAATAAATAATTAGAATAATTTTGACATTATTTTTTACGAAAACATGAAAAATATACTTATATAAAAATAATCAATTATATTAGGTGTTGGAATTAATTCGTAGCGTTTTTAATGAAAGAATGTTATTTATTTCACATGAGCATTAAAAAATACATTAATGAAAGTACTTCCCATCACTTGTAAAACGCTACGAATTAATTCCAACACCTAATATATAAAATTATATACGTATATTATTACATATAGGATATTATATAATTTTTTTGTAAAAAATCAATTTAAATGTTATTTTTTATTAACCCATTAATATACAAGTTACCATTAATATACCGATTTAATTTATTAACTGCCATTATATGCGTCTAATACATACAAAAATAACTGTTATTTATGCCATTTTACATATATATTTATATAATATTATACTTATATATATAATAAATGTTTTTATATAAAATATTTCTTACGAGACACGTTTGTTATCAGTTAAAAGTTTATTATAAGATATACGTGACGAAAATTCGTACATATTATTGGATTGTATGAATGAAAATGCTTTTTGCTTTAAAAGATTATATTAACCCTTAATACACACTTATACTTAGTACACACTTTAGCACCCTTATTACACACGATGGATCTTTCGCGTCTTGGATTAATTTCATCACTTTTATAAGTATATAAAAATTATTAAGCAATTTTTACTTTTATATTTTGACATCTTCAGAAAATTATTCTGAAGAGAGTATATTTATAATATTTTTACAAAGTTGTATATGTATAATAAATTGTATATAAATTATGTACAATTGTTGCACATAAAAAAGAAATGTGCAGGACACAAATGACCTAAAAATGATCTTGAAGAGTCTATATTCTCTGAATGTTTTTACACCTATTTCTCATTGATAAAGGATAGATACTTTATATACGAGGGGTATCCAGAAAATAAGTTCCGTTTGTATTATACGTTTAGTAAGGTCGATGTATGAGCGAGCTGGCAACACAGCATTGAAGAGGGGAAGCTACCGAAT